TTTATTATCTTGGCTCACAGTTGCACATGTGCATTACCGATCGGGCCGGTGCTAGCAGAGAGTGTAACGTAGGCAAGAGCAAGCAAAATGTCAGCAATTCTGCAATATTTTACACTGGAAAATCTGTAAACTAGATAATGAATGAAATTGGCCTTCATTCTCTGTATTTATTCGTTAATGTTTTTAAAGGGTTCAACCTGAGCCATACAACAATGTTAGCAATCATATCACATCTTTACATGGTTAGTTGTACACAGTTGTTATAAAACAATACATTTCTGTTTTTAACACATTGGTATCGGATCGATATCTGGTATCAGCTGATACGCAAGTTGAGGTATCAGAATGTGTATCGAACATCCTGTATTAAAAATCCATCATTTGACTTTGATACGATGATACGATCAAGACGGACGGCTGCCTCGACGTGTTGGTGCGCATTGTTTTGTGTTGTTTTTGTTGTTAATTCAGTTTTATGCTGCGATACCCGGACCACTTTCTCCAGAGATGAGCTCATAAACATCAGGGGAACAACTCCAGCGGACTTAGTTCCAACTTTTCTGCTAACTTCTGTGGAATTACTGGACATTCTAGTCAAAGGTGCGCTCACCTTAGCCCATGCAGTGAAACGCCGTAGGAGAGGGAAACGGGCCGGCGTGCTTGTGCATCTTCGCACATGTGGATTTCGCACACCGCTGCCGGGCATATTTCTCTCAAACGTCCGCTCACTGTGCAACAAACTGGACGAACTTCAGCTACTGGTGGGGAAAGACAGAGACTTTTCTTCATCTTCCGTTTTGTGCTTCACTGAGACCTGGCTCTGAGGATCGATACCCGACTCTGCGCTCCAGCTGGCTGTCTTCTAGCTGTTCAGAGCGGATCGCGATACGGAGCTCTCCGGCAAATCGAAAGGTGGAGGAATCTGTTTCTACTCCAACAGTGGCTGGTGCAACGATGTGACAGTGATTCTACAGCACTGTTCTCCTGATCTGGAATCTTTCATCATAAACTGTAAACCCTTTTACTCCCCCCGTGAGTTCGCTTCATTCATACTGGTCGGTGTTTACATGCCGCCGCAGGGCAACGTGCAGGAGGAACACTCGCCGAACAGATATGGTGTGTGGAGCGGACCAACCTGGACTCTTTAGTTATTGTCCTTGGTGACTTTAACAAAGGAAACCTCAGCCATGAACTACCCAAATACAGACAGTTTATTAAATGTCCAACCAGAGAGGAGAACATTCTGGACCACTGTTACACAACAATCAGCGGGGCCTATCACGCCGTCCCTCGTGCTGCACTGGGACTCTCTGACCATGTCATGGTCCATCTGATTCCTGCATACAGGCAGAAACTCAAGCTCTGCAAACCTGTGGTGAGGAAATTCAAGAAGTGGACCAGTGAAGCTCTGGAGGATCTTCAGGCGTGCTTGGACTGTACAGACTGGGACGTTTTCAGGACTGCTACCAACAGTCTGGATGAGTACACAGAGGCTGTGACTTCATATATCAGCTTCTGTGAGGACAGCTGTGTTCCATCAAGCACCAGGGTGAGTTACAACAACGACAAACCCTGGTTTACAGCAGAACTCAGACAGCTAAGACTGCAAAAGGATCAGGCATTTAGGAGTGGGGACAAGGACTTGTATAAAGAGTCAAAGTACAGGTTTAGTAAGGCGGTGAGAGATGCTAAACGACTGTACTCTGAGAAACTGCAACACCAGCTCTCAGCAAGTGACTCTGCTTCTGTCTGGAGAGGCCTCAGACAGATAACCCACTACAAGCCAAGAGCCCCCCACTCCATGAATGACCTCCGCCTGGCAGACGAGCTGAACGAGTTCTACTGTCGCTTTGACAGACAATGGGACAGCCCTGACTCCATCCCCCACAGCTCCATCAACCAGCCCCAGACCACCAGGTCCCCCTCCCCCAGCCCAGCAGGGGCCCATGCCTCTGTACCACCCATCACAGTGTCCCCCCCACCCCCCTCCCCAGTAACGACTCTCTCTATTCGGGAGAGTGACGTCAACAGGCTTTTTAAAAAACAGAACCACCGCAAAGCAGACGGCCCAGACTCAGTCTCCCCCTCCACCCTGAAGCATTGTGCTGATCAGCTGTCTCCGGTGTTCACAGACATCTTCAACACCTCCCTGGAGACATGCCACGTACCAGCCTGCTTCAAGGTCTCCACCATCATCCCCGTCCCCAAAAAACCTAGTATCACAGGACTTAACGACTACAGGCCCGTCGCCCTGACCTCTGTGGTCATGAAGTCTTTTGAACACCTGGTCCTGTCCCACCTAAAAACCCTCACTGACCCACTCCTGGACCCCCTGCAGTTCGCTTACAGAGCCAACAGGTCTGTAGACGACGCAGTCAACTTGGCCCTTCATTTCATCCTCCAGCATCTGGACTCCCCAGGAACCTACGCCAGGATCCTGTTTGTGGACTTCAGCTCTGCCTTCAACACCATCATCCCATCTTTGCTGCACGACACGCTCTCTGAGCTGCACATGCCCGACTCCACCTGCAAGTGGATCACTGACTGACAGGAAGCAGCACGTCAAGCTGGGAAAGCACGTCTCAGTCTCTCGGACCATCAGCACCGGTTCCCCCCAAGGCTGCGTTCTTTCCCCTCTGCTCTTCTCCCTGTCCACCAACAGCTGCACCTCCAGTCACCAGTCCGTCAAGCTCCTGAAGTTCGCGGATGACACCACCCTCATTGGACTCATCTCTGGTGGGGATGAGTCCGCTTACAGGTGGGAGACTGACCATCTGGTGACCTGGTGCTGTTTGAACAACTTAGAGCTCAATGCTCTTAAGACAGTGGAGATGGTTGTGGATTTCCGGAAGAATGCAGCCCCACCAGCCCCTATCACTCTGTGTGACTCCCCCGTCGACGTGGTGGAGTCCTTCCGCTTCCTGGGCTCCATCATAACCCAGGACCTCAAGTGGGAGCTTAACATCAGCTCCATCACAAAGAAGGCTCAGCAGAGGATGTACTTCCTGAGGCAGCTGAATAAATTCAACCTGCCAAAGACAATGATGGTGCACTTCTACACTTCCATCATTGAGTCCATCCTCTGCTCCTCCATCACAGTCTGGTACGCTGCAGCCACAGCCAAGGACAAGGGCAGGCTGCAGCACATCATTCGCTCTGTCGAGAGGGTGATTGGCTGCAATCTGCGGCCCCTCCAGGACATGTTGACTTCAAGAACCCTGAAGCAAGCAAGAAGGATTGTAGCCGACCCCTCTCACCCTGGACAAAAACTGTTTGTGCCCCTTCCATCTGGTAGGAGGCTGAGGTCCATCAGGACCAAGACCTCACGACACATGAACAGTTTCTTCCCGTCCGCAGTCCTGCTCATTAACAGAGCCCGGGACCCCCACTGACTCTGTCATCCCCAGGACAATTTCCTACCGGTCACTCCCCTGCACATCCCTTCTATTACACTCGACACTTTTACACTACACTTACATCTCACTTGTTTATAGTCCTGTTATCTGTTCGTTTGTGCACTTTATTTTGTATTTCACTTTATTTTATATTCCACTTTATTTTATGTTTTACTTTATTTTATAATTTTCTGTAAATTATAATATGTTTCTACTTTGCACTGTTGATTGTTGTTGATTGTTAAATCAACAACAATCAACAACAATTAAATGTTATGCACCTCATGTCAAATTCCTTGTATGTTACCATGGCAATAAACGGTTCTCATTCTGATTCTGATTCTGGTTGTGTGCCGTTAATAAAAGTGTAACTATGAAGCTTATGAAGAAGTTCATAAAGCATTGTATTTTTCAGTTTTTGTGAAAGTTGTTTTGATTGCAGGATGGAAAATTTGCTACAAAGACAAAGACTACAAATGTTGCCACAAAGACAGGAACAAACAGTAGAGGGACATCACTCCTCCTCTTTCATCTAATTTTCCAGGAAAACCTCGGCTGTGATTTCCAGACACACACTGGGTCACCAGAGGAGGCTGAGGCTGTGGACTGCTTCTATTTACAAACTGCACTGTAAGGTCTTCGTGTGTGTGTGTGTGTGTGTGAACATGTAGAACAAGGTGTTGTGGCTTATTGTTATGGTGAGAAGGCTTTGCGAGCCACCACAGCCACCTGCTTTCCATCAGAGGCATCTGCCATGACACTAAAGACACACACACACACACACACACACACACACACACACACACACACACACACACACACACACACACACACACACAGCTTGCTAACTCTTTTCGTTCAGATATTTTCTGATTGAATTCATTACATCATTCTATTACATGTTTAACAAAGCTTAATGAACAAAGGTTGAGAAATCGACGACTGATGTTCAACTCAACAACTTTAGCAGCTGGAGTACCAATCTTTTAGCAGGTCGGTTTAGGTGTGATGGTGGTTAGATGATGACCTGCAGAAATGTCATGACTCATGAGGCTAAATACTGAAGTGTTGAAAAGTGATGTGTTGCAGCTACGATGAGTAAACTTTAAGAAAGCGCTGGAGCTGGATCAGTACTTAGTGTTGGCAGAGTGTCAGAATTGGTATTGGAAGAGAAAAAGTCAGATTAGTGGATTTCTTTGTTTGTACAACATTTACCTATTGAGAACATTGGCTTATTTTGTTACAAGTAAAAACAAAAACTCATTGCAATGGCACTAGATTTAAAACATTTCAAATGCTATCCAGCCCTAATTTATTCCATTCTGTCTTTCCTCATAACCCACGCATGAAAAAAGATACATTTTATTTAAATACAAAAAGATCAGAAAGAGTCAAAAATAAAGTGACACTGGGTTCACTTGTATTTGGAGAAACTCCTCTATTCAGTCACATGTCTAAAGCACGTGCATGTGTGTCTTTATCACAACACAATACAATCGGGTGTGGTTACATCCTCCAAATCAGCAGATACTTTGTAAGAGAACATCTGAAACCGAGCATGAAGGATTATGGTCATAGGTCATGGGGTCAGGATAGAAGTCTTACCAGCCAGGGGTGAGGGATCTCAGGGAGGGGCATCTGAGGCGGGGCTGGCAGACCACTGTGGATCTCTGACTTGAATGAAGGCTCTGGGAAGAAGGATCGAGTATCAGAAAAGTAGTTCCAACTGAGAAACATAAAAACTTGGAACTGCTCTCTTCCCTATTGTGAAGATGTTTTCCTGTTAACATAAAAAAATGTACTTTATATCGTGCTGTTGATGAGACCTTAAATTAACTGACTTAAGTTTAAAGATTGAGCAAAAAGCAACAATCTCAACTTTTTATAAAACTGATGGATGGATGGGTGGGTGGATGGGTGAGTGTATGAATGGATGGGTTGGTGGATGTATGGAGGGATGGATGGGTGGATGGATGGAGGGAGGGATGGGTGGGTGGGTGGATGTATGGATGGAGGGATGGGTGGGTGGGTGGATGTATGGATGGAGGGAGGCATGGGTGGGTGGGTGGATGTATGGATGGAGGGATGGATGGGTGGGTAGATGTATGGATGGGAGATGGCTGGAGGGATGGATGGATGGAGGAATGATGGATGGGTGGGTGGATGTATGGGTAGATGGATGGATGAATGGGTGGATGGGTAGATGGATGGATAGGTGGATGGATGGGTAGATGGATGGATGGATGGATGGGTAGGTGGATGGATGGGTAGATGGATGGATGGATGGATGGATAGATGGATGGATGGTTACAGGAGAAAATAAACTCTTAGATAATCTTGCAGTCTCTCTCTAAAGTGTTTGTGAAGCGTGGCTTGTGATCTCACCTTTATCTGACAGGACTCTGTGGAGGATGTTGGAGAGGTGCATCTTCTTCTCTCGAACCCCAGCGCTCAGATACTCCCTGTCCAACAGGTCCAGGAACAGACGAAGCTCACACACCAGCTCCTCCATCGCTGCAGCACACACACACACACACACACACACACACACACACACACACACACAC